GCAAAACTCCTTTCTCCAAATCGCACTTTCCCAACCGAATCCAACTCCTCTCCAAGAAGAAGACGAACAACAAGCTGTTGCCTTCTTCTAAAGCGACTCGAATCTAAACCAACAATTCGTTCCTTCCTTTTTCCGATCGACGATGTGCTGCGGCGGAAAGCTGTGCATGCTCTGTGTCTGCCTGATCGCGGTCGCCGTCGCCGTCGGATTGCTCTTCGGATTCGGAGTTTTCAAGGACGGCTTCCACAAGATCAAAGATAAAGTTGATTTCTGCGATGGACCTCTGTGCRGCGGCGGCTCCTCATTTCTAGGTTTTCTCTTCCGTAGATCTCCGCTTTCTTTCAATTTTTTTTTTCATTTCTCTTTATTATTTCTGTTATTTTGAGATTGCTTTCGTTTTTTTCTTTTTCGAATATAAGGCATTTTTTCACTTCTATTTGCAATAATAATCCATGGATTGTTTTTTTTTTTATTTCAACATGCGCTCTTTGATTATAATTTTTAATTATTTGAGTTGAAATGAAATTAGAAATTGATCAATTTCTAATTTGTGCAAGTTCAGAGGCTAATCCAAGGGRATGTCAATATAGAAATAATTGTGCATCTTATCCATTCCGCTATTTTGAAATTTGGGATATAATTGTATCTTATAYCATTAGATGAAACAAATTATTATATTTTGTGAAGAAAATAAATTATTATTTGTTTTTTAATTAAAAATAMCATTTAAGTCTTTTTTATTATTATTTTTTTTTCTTTCAAGAGAAGCATGAAGCATGTTTGAAAGAAATTTAGCTACACAAGAACTTCGAAATTACGAGTTAAAAAAAAACAAACAAACAAAAAAGGTGAGAACATATTTAATGTTTTTTTTAGTGAAAAAAATAATGTTAAAAAATGTTTTTTTAAATAATTTATTTTCTTTAACTATTCATTGGTGTCTTTTTTTAATATATATATGATTTTGAAAATTAAATTTAAAAATCAATATTTAGAATTGTTATCTATAATTTGAAACTAAATTTCAACCTCAATTTTCAAATTAAACATTAGTTTTAGACATAGCTTTGCTTCAGCATATGGTGTATTAAAGTTGCATTTTAGACCAAAATTAGTCAAAGGTTTAGACGACGATTCACCTCTAATCTATAGACTACGCGATTTTTGTT